TTAATGTGCCAACTGTTGGGCAAGTATGACAATTACATATTTATAGTTTTAATTTAATTTTGGCAATGAAAATTATTTCATATTTTATAATAAATGTATTGTGAGTTTTGGAATATTATGTGATGGTCTATATAAATTGAATTTGGATTCTGTTTTTGTTGAACATCTTATATCCCATCATATGTGTAATGTGAAACATGAAAATATGAATGAGAATTTTTATGTTGTGGCATGGAAGGCTAGGGCACATCCCAAAAGAAAGGCTGCAGAGATTAGTCAAGTAAGGAGCATAGTTTGTAAGTCAAATTTATCTATTTCTCTACGTGGAGCCTTGAAGAATATCATTTATATAGTGAATCATGTTCTTAGTAAAAAGCTGAACTAAAAACTTGATTTGGTGTTATGGACTAGCAAGAAGTCTAGTTTAAGACATTTGCATATATGGGGATGATCTGCAAAAGCCAGATTTTATAAAAAAAATTTTAAAGAAATTAGATTTAAGGTCTATAAGTTGTTACTTTTAAGTCTTCTGGATTTATGGAGAATTTTGTGAACAAAGGGATTTATATCAAGTTCAGTTGGAGCAGATTCACTATTTTGGTTCTATATGTAGATGACATTCATACATTGCAAGAAATAAATATTTTTATCTTTGATATGAAGGACTTAGGTGTAGCTTCATGTGTGATTAGCATAGAAATTCATCGAGACAGATCTCAAGGGATTCTGGGACTATCACAAAAGTCATATATTGAGAGGGGCTCAAAAAGTATAATAGGCATAGTTGTTCTTCAAGTATAGCACCTATTATTAAGGGTGATAAAGTCAAAAATTACAATATCCCAAAAATAACTTATAGAGGAATAATATGAAAATATTCCTTATATATTAGTTGTGGGAAGTTTATTGTATGCTCAGGACTGCACCTGTCCAAATATAGCTTTTGTTGTCAGTATATTGGCTAACTATCAGAGTAACCAAGGGCTAGTACATTGGAAAGAGGCTAAAAAAATAATGACGTATATGTAAGGGATAAAGTACATTATGTTCACATAAAGTAAATCTAATCATCTTGATGTTATTGAATATTAGGTTGTAGATTTTGCTGCCTATTCAGATGATAAGAAGTCCACATCAGGTTGTATCTTTAGGATGGCCGGTGGAGCCATTTCATGATAAACTCATCGATTAGGGTAGCAAAATTTGTAGCTTGCTATAAGGCTACCAAGCAAACTTTGTGTTGCAAAATTTTATCTCGGTGCTTCAAGCTGTAGATTTTATTTACAAGTCACTGAGAACTTTCTATGATGATTATGTTGCAGTTTTCTTCTCTCAAAACATTTAGTGCTTGGACTTATCCAAACATATAGAAATTAACTATCTTGTTATAAGGGAGAAGGTAAGGGAACTTGTAGCGTCCATTGAGCACATTAGTACAAAACTGGTGATCGTTGTTACCTTGACCAAGGGTTTGAATCCCATATGGTTTGTAAAGCATGTTGCTCATATGGATTTAACTAACATGTAGGATGCACTTGGTCAGTGGGACTTATAGTGCAAGCATACAATATGACACTCATTCAGTTTGATTAATGCATATCGGATGCATCAAAGTTCCTATTTTATATGTATACATAAGGATAACATGATATAAAGTTCTAGACCGTTTTTAGGTGGGATATGGATTTTACCATATCACAAAGTTTTTTGTCGACCATAAAGGTTAAATGTTGGAGATTATAGAGTGTTGGCGCTAATACTATAATCATGGAAAGGCAATGTGTCATTTATAGAATACAATTATCCTTCATGATTTGGTATTAGTAGTTTCACTTGTCAAAGTCTTATTTTTTAGAGAGTATTTTACATTTGCTTAAATTGTGGATGTATTTTTAATTATAATTATTGTTGGCCCAAGTGGGAGAATGTTAGAAAATATCCCCAATTCGTGATCTAATGATAAATATATAAAGGTAGTATTATTCACAATTTAAGTGAGTCGATTATCCAATATTAAAATAAAGATTAGTGATAATCATCTCCCCCACTCTCTCTTAAAAATAACTAACTATGATGGGTTAGGATAAAAAAAAGAAACATAATAAAGAAATGATATAAGAGAACGGTCCCAGCTCTTGCTCTCTCTCCATAATAAAGCTTCCCATCAAGCTTGGAGGAGAAAGGAGGTGAAGGTCGATCCACCCCCTTCAGATATCAGAACAAGAAGCTGTTTTCTTTTATTGTTGGATCATGGAAGGTATGTTTACATCTACTGTTTTATTCTTGTTTTTCGGTAATTATGAACTACGATCCAAAAGGATTTACATGTTTTTCAGGTTCATAAATATGTAAATCTGTAGTTTATTTTTATACTGTGATGGTCCAAATATTAACGTGCCTTCACAGTTCCACCATATTAGATAGCCCAATCATGGTTGAAGAAGTGTCGTAATGGCTGACTAAGTGCCAAAGTGGTTTTGTGAAGTGTCATGATCTCTGACTAAGTGCCAAAGCGGTTTTGTAAGTGTCGTGATGGTCCAAAAATTAACTTACCTTCACACTTCAACCAAAAGTGTGATCCCTTGAACCCCAAACCAAGAGGGCTTGAACCCTCTACGACCATCACATCTCTTGTTTAATTATGATGCCTTCACAAACCTAAAACTGTTGTGCAAGATAATTTAGTAAAAAAAACTCAAACAGAGTGAAAAAGATATATGAATGAGGCTTTACAAAATTTGAAATTTACTTTTAATTAGAATAAAAAGAATAAAAAAGGTCCTAAATCCCTTTCAGCCTGATCAGGACCCGACTCCAGCCCCTCAGTCTAAAAGGGCCAGGACTAGGTTTGACCCGGCCGAAGCAACAGGACTGAAGAATCTCGAGGACCATGCCAGGGGAAGCACATGCTTGTGCTTGTCCAAATATTAGCGAGATTGATAAGCTTCAAAAATCTTACTACGTTTGTTTTTATTTGTCCCTATCCGTCAATTGATTAAGATTTTGTCATCAACTACATTGTTAAAGCTCCAAAGTCCGATGGTGATTGTTTTGTCGTTATCCCTCAATGATTAAGATTTTGTCCTTTTAGTTGATAACAATACCAGAAACCAAAACGTTACTTTTCCTGGGGTTAAAAAGTCGGGGATACCTGGGGTTAAAGAGTAAGGGATCAAAAGTGTCAATATTTTTTAAAAAGAAAAGTATACATTGAGACCTACAAGGTGATTACAATTTATCTTGAAATTAGATGGCTGCATTTACTCCATTGACCCCATTTAAATTTCAAAAAAAAAATCTCGAATTTTATGACACATCCATGATATCAGATTTCACATTGGATGGTTGTAAGCAATTGTGACCTCCTTATATCTAAAGTAAATGGTTTCATAGTATACAATCCCTTTTTAAAAATTGAAAAAAATACATAAATATCTTTTATATTTTTCATTATTACGAAAAATACTTGAAACTTTCCGTTATTATACAGATGTCTGTTTTTTCAACGTCATAATGCTTTTTCTTTTGAAAAATCAAACTGCCTATTTTCAATTTTGGAAAAATCAAATTTTTTTTAGTTTTTAGTTTTTCAAAAACCAAAATAAAAAATTGTTCAATTTTTGAAAAACCAATTTTGTTTTTTGTTTTTTGTTTTTTTGGTTTTTGAAACTCTCTCTACCCTTCTTCTACCTAAATCTTCTTCTTCATCTTCGCCAACTTTCTCTGCAAATCCTTCTTATGTAGATTCAAGCTCTTCTTCTTACTGACCCAATCAAAACCACTGTTTTTAATATCATTTTATCTGGGTTTATGAATGTAAACAGAGAAAGTTCAGTTTTGATAAATGAAGTTATTTTGGGATGGAGTTTTTTTGGGTAGGCTTGGGAGAGGACAGAGTACATTGTTGAATGGTTTTGTTTGGGCTTGTTTTCATTTTCATTTTCTTCGTTTGGGCTTGTTTTCAATGTCATTTCATTTGTTAAAATGTTTTGTTTTTTTTTTTTCCTTTTTATTTACAGCTTTTACAAGTTGCTCATTTGATCCATTGTTGTAAGGGCAAATGACTCAGCAAGAGTTTTTCTAGATAGTAAGGCAAAGCCTGAAGCATAATTGTGTTGTATAGAAAGAGGAAACTATAAGTCGTCAAATCTCCAATTTTAGTTTCAAATGAGTACTCTCTTTTTTTCAACGAAATCTTTAAAAAAAAAAAAATCCATTCACCAAAACTGAACTCTCTATTTACATTCATAAACCCAAATAAAATGAGATTGAAAACCGTGGTTTTGATTAGGTTAACAATAAAAAGAGCTTGAATATACAGAGGATTTGCAAAGAAAGTTGACGAAGAAAAAGACTTCAATAGAAGAAAGGTAGAGAGAATTTCAAAAACCAAAATAAATAAAAACAAAATCGATTTTTCAAAAACCGAAATATTTTTAATTTTGATTGTCTTCTAAAAAAATTGTTACAAAGTTCCAAAATAAAATTTTTCGAATGATGTGCCACACTTTAATCCCTTAAATATCACATCCAATGGTAAAGAAAAATTGTAACTTTTTTGTACTAAAAATAAATGATTTCATTGTATACAATCCCTTTTTTTAAAAGAAAAGTATAAAATGAGATCGTTTGCTTTTCATACAAAGAGTTCCCAATCATCATTGACCATTAGATTTAAAATCGAATGGTTGAAGACGTATCATTGTTTAGACAAAATCTTAATCACAATTTCTCAAATGTTGTAAAATACTATCTAATAAATTTCACATCCATTTCACACTAACATCTATTGGATTTCAATCCAATAAATAAAATAATTGTGACCTAATATAAAAAGTAGATGAATCCCTATGCTTTAAGGAGTTCGCTAGTCCGTCTACTCGATATATTTAGCCAGCGCTTAAAACCCTGTGGATTGGTCAGGTGAATTGGCCATCTAGGAAACCAGTCCAGATATGAAATCCGGCCGAAAGGATCTACCAACAAGAAGGAAAAAAAAAAAAGTGAAAACATAAATAATAAATAATAATAATAATAATAAAACAGTGGGAACTAGCCGGTTCTAGCAGGTACCGGCCGGTTGCTAATACAATCGTCAAAACCGACTGTCCCCAACAATTCCAAGGTATGGTTGGGCAACTCCGATCGGACTTCTTGTTCAGCCTGACTTCTAATTAACTTCATCTTCAATATGCAACCGATACAAGTGATTTTTTTGATCTTGGAATACCCGATCTCGTAAGTGTGATAACCAATCAACCACATTGGTCGTGATTAGGACTTAGGACTCTAAAACTCTAAACATTCTCTTATTTTTCTCTTTCCATAGGCCATCATCCATACCCTCCGTACCTTCCTTCCAACTTCCGTGAACAGTGGGGATACCCAATGTTGGAACAAGTGTGATTTGAGGTATTCCCACTGTCACTGAACTTCTGGGAGGGTTCAATTCCAAATAAGCCCCCTTTCAAGGGGCAATGGAGAACGAGATATCACAACTTTCTTCATCCTCCTTGCACACCATGCACATATTTCCCAAAGCTAAAAACTTGTTCTTGAGGATCACCTCAAGAATCCTAACACCTTGAACAATGCAACAAACACCGGACTCTTCCAATGGAATTGTCATCCGTGACACAAATTTCGCTTTGGGTGGATACTGATTCAGTTGTGGTCAAGGAGGTCTTCAGGGGGATCATACACTATTATAGCATGAAATAGCTCAAGGAAGCCCTCCTTTAGTCTCTCTTTGGCTGAATACTGACTCAGTTCTGATCAAGGAGGTCTAAAGGAGGATCATAAACAATCATGCCAGGAAATAGTTCAAGGAAATCCTCCTTTACTCTTTCTCTAAGCTCAGGGTAAGGTAGGAGGCCTTTCAAGATGACTCGGAAAGGAAGAGATAAAGGAGGGTCAGGAGATTGTCTCATTTCTTCATACCATTCCATTGCTTGGAACTCGAGGTTATTATCTAAGAATGATCTGATAATGTCACCATATGTATGCTGATCAAAGTGGACTCCCTCTCTCTTCAGGTCCTCATGGACCTGGGCTGCCTCCTCCACCTTTCTATTCCTTGCAAGCATCAGAAGCATGTCCCTGTAAAAGAACATATCTGGGCGGTACCATATCTCCTGACGTATAGCCTGGTATACCTGCACGCAAGGCTGCCATTTCAGTGTCACAGTATATGTGTGTGTATATATAATATATATATATATATATATAGAGAGAGAGAGAGAGAGACAAAAAGAGTTACATGGAGAGCTATGCCACCAAAAACACTTACAACATGGATAAGACGGATGAAACTCCAGGAAGATCCCGAATTCTGAAATCCAGAACATTTTCACTTCCCATTGGAGTTTTTATTTGAAATCTCTAGAATCAAAACTATGTATTTTCTCGAAAATTATACAATAAAAAAAAAAGACAAGTTCATAAAGGGAGGTGACAGTTCTCCCCCACCCCTTTAATGATAGTGTAAGATAATTTAAGCCCTTGAATGATATTTCCCTTTAAATATTTGACTACACAAGTTGCAGATAAAATTTTCTTTGTAATTGCTGAGCTACAAAAAATAAAAGTAAAAAGAAATTTATAGGCTATTATATAACTCAGAGAAATGTCTGTATAAATAAAGATGCTATCTCTTAAGTATAGTCCAGGAGAGATGGCAGAATTAGTTTGGGAGCCAGTGTTTCAGTTGATAGAAAAGGAACGAACTTGAAGCCAACTAAATTTGCATATTATAAGCTAAAGAGCTGCTAATCTAAGCGTTTTTTGAGCCCTATAGGGGGTTTTTATAATTGACCACCCTGCCTGTGGGTTGCCCAACCTCTTGCAATTGTCTTCACTCAATACAACAGGTAACACTTTCAAACCCACTCCTAGCCTGAAGAAAGATAATAGTGCCCAATGGAAGTCTAATAATGGAGGTCAAAACAGATCCCCTTCTTTTTCCCCTATTGACACTGGTAACAGATGACAGATTTGTAGCTGTGACAAGGCTGAAAATAACATATTTCTCCATGTGATCAGTTGTATATACCTCAAACAAAATAAAAGATTATGCACAATTTCTGATGAAAAAGCTGATCAAATCACATGGCTGAATAGAAATTGTGATGGAACTTGGCAAAGAAAAAGCTAAGATGCCAAAAAATGCAAGAAAAATCTTAGATATCTGGGAGGGATCTTGTGGAAACATGCTCCTACTACTTAAATTAAACAAAAAAAAAACAGATTTCATCAATTCAATCTATTATGGTATTTCAGTTATTTTTTCCAAAATTTTAGAACCTTATAAGGTGTAGACTTCAAAGCTCCAAGAATGCAAGTAAAATTTGGAAGAACAATATTATGTAGGGCATTGAATACAGGTGCTAACTGTTGGAATACTGTCCAGAAGTTCATTCCACAGGATTTACTATGCCGCCCTTTTTTTATTTTTTTAGAAAAATACACATAAACCCTTTTTTTGTACTGTTATTACAATTTTACCGCATAGTTTCCATTGCTACCTCTATACCCTTTTTAATCCTTTATTACTATTTGTTTAAAAAAAATGATGAAATTACCCTTTTTGGATATTGAGTATCTGAATTTGTCATTCATGCAAATTAGCAGGTTCTACAATTTTTGTCATCTCAATATCTGAAAAATGACCTTTTCGGATATTGAAAATCTGAAATAGATTTTTCAGATGTTCGGCATCTAATTTCGCACTAAACATGATTCAAAAAAACCTCTTTCGCGCTAAACATCGGATGTTTGGCATCTGATAATGAGGTCTTAGTTGGCCCAAGGAACTATTTCCATAGCACTTGGTAACCTTCAATTTCCTCCTTTGTATAGAAGAAGTCCATAATTTGAGTTCGTCTCGAAAGACCCTCCACAATAAAATACCAGCAGCACTTTCTCGATAACCATTGTCGAAGCTTCTGTATTAGATGACTATCAAAATTCTAGTTGCAGAGTAGAAATGAAAGAAGTCATCAAAAAATATGGGATCTGTTAATTACCTGATTAAACATATAAGATATATCTACATCATCACTTATTTCAATCAATTTAAGGCCACTAGATAGACTCGTGTTGTGATACATAATAGTTAACTTCGTTGGATCACACGATATCATGTTCCCAAAAGGAGTTTTCAGTTGGCCCAAGGAACTATTTCCATAGTATTTGGTAACCTTCAATTTTCCCCTTTGTATAAAAGATGTTAGTCACTTTGAGTTCAACTCGAACGACCATCGATAACGGAATACTAGTTGCACTCCCTCGGCAACCATTGTCAACACTTCTATATTAGATAAATACCAAAATTCTAGTTACATCGTAGAAATAAAACAAGTCATCAAAAAATATGGAATCTATTTAATACCTATTTAAATAATTGATCGCTCGTGTATTTTTTGTCAATGTCCCTATTTAGAAAGATAGATACAAACAATCCACCATCACAACAGGAGCCTCACAATGCAACAACTATGTATCTATCACTAAACCATAAACTCACCCCCAGTAGAACTAATTTTAAAAAGAAAGTATCCCTCAAAATTCCTAGAGGACCTCCGAAAACCCCTACATTTCATTCATACCTTTCTATAACCTGTTTAACAGTGAAGAAACACATAAATATGAACAGAGATTGACTAAAAGCTATGCTACAATTTATAGGTAACAATAAGCCCCGAGGCCTATGAGAATTTCCAACTGTAGCTACAAATTACATGGGTTACTTCCTCAGATTTTCTTGAAATCACATCAATCTCATTAAAAGCTTTCGGGGTTTCCAGCAATGAGACAACACTAGCGAACAAGACTGCTTTTACATAAAAATTTATTTGTAATGATCAAGCTCAGACTAAAAATGGATCATATACGTAACATCTCAGAAAGAAAGAACCTCTTCCACTCTTCAGACAATACCCAATTAAGCACCTCAATTTACTAGGCCATCTGCCAGGTTGGTGGGTTCTATATGGATATGTGAGATTTCCCTGGCAGCAATAGTTCAAGATATCCACAATGATAAGTCGATCAAGTACCCAGAAATATTCCGACTCATGACAGCCCACCAATCTAGACTTAAGAGGACCACCATAGAACCAATAGCATTAGAAAAATATTCTTGTAGATTATACCTCTGGACAAAACCAAAGTCTTTGTCAGGATCAACAAACTACGGAATTTACCAAACACTTAGCTTCAATAAATGGCTGAAGGTGATAAAGAACTCCTAATCATCAACCAAACTTCTAGTGACTGATTCAATCTTCCATAAAAAAGCATAAGCTGAATGTCCTAAATGGACCTCTTTCTACAAGTTTTCTCGGACCAAGCAACCTTATTACTTGTCTAATCCATGTAATGCCCCTATGAACAACTTATTTATCTTCTCATAAATTGCAAGTCTCTAAATTTTCCGCGATAATTTCTGACTTTTCATGCTTTTCGAAGCCAAACACCAAACTGAGGGGTCAAACCTCATATACAAAAAGCTCACATTCAACAGAGAAGTAATGAACTCTCTGGAAGTTTGTGCAAAAATAGGAAATTAATTTTGGGGAAAGAAAAATAATTAGCACCAAGATCAAACATAATATTCCATGAGGCCAAAATAACTAAACTAATATACCATATACACAAACATACAGCATGCATAAACATGAAATTTCTACTAAAATTATCTTAACATTAGGCAAATAATCTCTAGTAATTTTGAGACATTCGATAATATTATCATTATTATAAAAAGACAACATTCAGAAAGGCCATGGCTGTCAGAGAAATCCTTAACATCTTCTGTAACGCTTACTATAGAACTTACACAAGCTTGTAATTTAATACTTCCACTGGCAAAAAGATTACTTAGGAAATAAAGATTCAGAAAATCTAGGTGCACCGATACTATATTTATTTCCTTTCTTAAAATTTTCTTCCATTTATTTAGGCAATTAATCATTTACTGAAATGTACCATTCGCAAATTCAAAGATGGAGAGAGAGAGAGAGAAGAGAGATGGATAAGAGAAAAAAGGAGAAACGGATTACCTTCATACAGAGGAAAACCTGGTCCTGGCGCTGAAACTCTTCAAGCACAGCAAGGAGGTCAGATTTGAGAAGTCGAGAGACATGGCTTTTAAAGAAAGAGCGTAGCCGAACTTCATCAGACTTCAAGCGCTTCAATTCCTGAACAACCAAAAGCCCTTCTTTCCCCATACTCCTCCTTCGCCTCCATATTGACAAGCTATGGCTTGCTGCACCAGAAAAGTGGCGTGCTGCGGAAGAGTGAGAAACTCTTTCGCTCTCTGGGAAATCCCATGTCCTTGTTCTAAGGAGAACTCCAAGTCCTACTATAAGTCTCCGAGATTTAGCAGACCTCATGCCTGAATGCAAAAGAGATGAATGAGCCATGATTACTGCAAAGAACGATGCAATCACTCATTTGCATCTTCTTACCCAAAGCCCAAAACTATCCTTCCCACTATCTCTTACTTGGCTTCCATCTTGTCCAAGAATCAACACTTTCTCTTCTGCCTGGTTTTCATCATTTTCAAGATCTCCCTGGTAGTTTCCATGTTCTGGCAAACACAATAGGTGGGAGAAATATAGTTAGAGCAAGGTTAAGTTAAGACATCATATGTCTAACTAGAGAAACACTTGAGGGAAAGAGGGATGAGACAGAGAGGGAAGGGGATTTTGTTAGGGCAATCCACCAAAAGGAAATGCATAAAATGTTTTAATTAAAAAGTAGAAGCAATTACCCTAAAAACTTGAAGGATAACAACAAGTAAAAATGCTCAAAGAATGGAATGAAAATCTAAGAAATGAATATTCCAGGCAGGCCAAACAGTGGAAATGTATCTTCCAGGTTGCATATAAGTAATATCCAAACAGAATTTGCCCACCAGAAAATGTATCTTGTAAGAAATAAATATCTTTAGGAGATGCTCACAAAGACTGGCCACTTACTCATAAGCATGCCTACTTCTACTGAGAGCCCAATGATTTCAGTAAGTTACATGGTCACAATGCCACATACATGACAAGTACTCACAAAAAGTGGTCACCGTACTCACAAGCATGCCTGCTACTACTATGAGAACCAATTGATTTCCATGAGTTCCATAGTTAAAGGCAAATGCCAGCACCATTAATTTCAAAAAGCTACACAGTTGCCAAAAGTAGGCAAGGGGAAAAGATACAAATACCAGATCCGTTAATGGTCCATTAGGGCTGTCAATGCAATCAAATAAGTTGAAAATACAACAAACCAGCTTTGCCAGAAGACTACTGCGGGTCATCCACCTGTTGGCCCGCCACCTTGCTGTTTCGGGTCGCCATTGCCCTCTTTCCCTTTCCTTTGCCCTTAGCTTGTCGCGAACCCTTTGACAAAGCATTGAGCTTGAAGTCCACAAGGGACTCAGCAGCAGTAACAGCTGCAGGCAGGTCCTTGACCCCCTGCCTCCTCAACTCAGCCTGGGCCCATGGCTGCAGCCCAGCCATGAAGTTGAGAAGTTTGTCCTCCTCAGACATAATCTTTATGTTAAGCATCAGACTCGAAAACTGCTTGACATACTCGCGCACTGTGGCAGTGTGCTTGAGTATGCGCAAGGCCTCCCTAGTGGTCCAAGCAGCATTTCCAGGCAGGAACTGCTCCTTGAGTTCGCGCTAGTGGTCCTCCCACCCAACAATGGGAGGTCTTGACTCATCTGTCATGCAGTCCTCCACCAAAGCTTGGCTTCTCCGGTGATTTACATGGAAGTCACGGTCACACGATCTCTCTCACGGGCATGAGCAACAGTGAAGTACTGCTCCATGTCCAAGGTAAAGTTATTTAGCTCCTTTGCAACCCTGGCGCTGCCGAAAGGATTGGGCTCAGGCACCTTGACTCGGGTCGACTCAAGCATCCCTAAAGAGTTGCTTAAGGCCCTTTTGACTAGGCTAAGCTCCTCATTCAAGGTCTTGAGGTCGTCTTTGAAGACATCCGTTAAGGACGCAACATCTGCCTACAAGTCCCCCAACTGGGTTCCTCAATGGCCAGCGTGCTCCTCCTGTGCCACCAACAACGCATCGAGTCAGGTACTAAGGGCCTCGGCTCTCTCATCTGAGATAGCCAATCGGGCATCGAAGTCGGCTAGTTGCTCCTCGACTAGGCTAACACGATTGCCCATGTTTGAAGCCATTGCTTGAGCCGTCTGTGAACCTTCGCTATGATACCAATTGTCACGGGGTCTAACCCTTCGCTGACGCCATGCAGCCTTGGCTCTCAGCCTGGACACTAAGGGTCAAGTTCAGCCTTCACACTTACGCACTGACCTAGAGACTTTTCACAGTCACAGACCAAGCAGACACTTGAAAATGGTCTACGCGCCTCAGCCTGTTTTATTAATCTTTACACTAGATTGTGTATATTGCAACAGATGCCCCCTCAAGGGTCAGGGCCAGGGGCTTATATAGCCAACCGTTACAATATTTGAAATCAAATACACGTGGTGGCCAGGCATGCCTTTGGACCTGATCGTGGACCTGTCAAGCTACCCACATTCCGAGCAGTTACATCTAGAGGCTGTCAACCTCAGCCACACCTACACCAGCACTCTGCCATGCAACATAACATCAACCCATATTCCACCACGACCCTGTCGTCCAGCCCCAGCTGCCCGTTACACCGCGTCGGCCTGGTCGTCCAGCCCCTAGATGAGCCGTTCCACCACGTCAGTCTGGTCATCCAGCCCCCAGTTGGGCCGTTACACCTCGTCTCCCACCCTGGTGGGTTCGAATTCAAACTTGGCGCCTGCCAGCTCACAAGGGCCCATCCATCCCACGATTAGCCCTCTGCAAGTGCCTGTGCACCTTGCTGGGGCCTTGTCCACTGCTGCCTGCTAGTGACCCAAGGCTCTCATACTTCCCCCAAGTATAAGTATAGTCTCAAATACCTTCATAGTTTCAAAAAGCGGACTGCCCAACACCTGGGCGACCGCCTAGGCGGATATCCTTGGGCGCCTGCTTGAACCTGCCTAAGCGGCCGCTCAAGGCCTGCGTCCCACCCAGGGCTGGAAATGCAGCTCCTTGAGGGTAGTTTTGGGTCATTTTTTTTAATACTAAAGGAGTAAAATTGTGGGTTTTAGGTTCATTTGAAATTTAAAACCCATTAGAGGCTATTTTTGAGAGAGAAAACTAGTTCTTCAGCAATTTTATAATTCCTAGACCAAGTTGGATCCGAATCCCATCAAAATTATTTTGAATAAATTATTCTGATGTTAAATTATATTTAGATTGGTTATTTGAATTTGTAGAAGTCTCTAGATATTTTATCTTCAAAAAATGAAATTAAGAATATTGAATTTTAGTATGTAAATATTCATAGAGAAATAATGTTTATTTTTCATATTCTAAAAATAAATTTTAGAATTTTATAAATCATTAAATATATGGGGGCTCACCATGAGCTATGAGACCTACCATAAAAACCACATGCGAAAATTTTGTGGGGCACACATGAGGCCACCTAGGGTGGTACGCCCCACTTAATTGAATATTACTTGCGAAATTATGTGGAAGCCACCAAGGCTATCAATCAAGTTGAATTAATATAGAATGTTTTGAAATTATAGAAGATTGAATTCAATCATATATTATGTGCAAGAAGGTTATGAAAAACAAAAGTAAGTATGATATTATTTTTCATATTTCATTATTTGATGGGATTAGGTTTAGGAAGCAGAAGATAAAGGTTCTAGCACCTTCCTTTGAATCATGATGCTTGATCTAAGGATTGGATGACTCAAATCCCTCACAGGTCTCCTATGGTCAATGATCATAATCTAATCTCCATAAAGATTGCTACCCCTAAGTAACCTTAACCCCTGGAAAACTCTATAAATAAGGTACCAAATCTCTACATCTCTCACACCTCTCATCTCTCTCTCCCTTAAGGGTGGCACGCCACCCTCTCACCTCTCTCTCTCATCTCTCCCATAATATTTAGAAAGAAAGCGAGGGCACGCCCCACCTAGATCTAAGAGGAGGGCACACTGCATAGCCTAAGGCATTGAGGCCTAGTTTGTGATCCAAAGTTTCATAGCTCTCATATAGATAAAAGTAATAACTAAGGCTTTCCTATACTTCGTAGATCTGATATAGATTCATTGATCTCGTGCGCCATTAGAGGAGGAGACCCGGTGTGAGGTATACTAAGTCTGGTTAAGGTAATCTTCCGGCATTTTGCTTTGTACTTTGCAGTATTATTATTTTCTTGTGCCTTCTTATTCTTATAAACATTATGTATATTGTTTGTTGAACAAAAGAAGTAATTAGTGGCAGCAAGTGATAACCTCTTTTGGTTGTTTATTTGATTCATTTGAGTTAATTTAATTGTATTTTGACCATTGCAAGTGTTTTAGTCAGTGAAAAGTAGAAAAATATTAAAGCTGGACAAGGTGATCTAGCACAGTGTGTATAATTTTTTATTTTTCTTTTTCTCACCGACTATAGCATTTACAAGGGTCCAAATACAATAAAATTTATTCAAAATAAACAAATAAACAACCAAAAGAGGTTCTCACTTGCTGCCACTAGTCACAATATCTTTTATCCAATAAACAAAAAAAACATAATACTTATAGAAATAAGAAAAACACAAGAAACTATGAGACTGCAAAGCACAAAGCAAGATGCTGGAAAATTACCTCAATTGGACTTAGTTCACCCCACATTGGGTCCCCTCCTCCAATGGCGCATGGGATCAATGGTCCATCTCAAATCTTTAAAGCATGAGAAAACCTAGGCTACAACCCTTAATAATATGAGAGCAATGGAACATGACTTAGTTAACTTATGCCTCAATACCTTAGTGTATGGGGCATGGCCCCTCTTCCACATAGCTTGAGGCGTGTCCCCTCTTACTATCGCTCAATTCTAAAGGAGAGATAAGAGAGAGAAGAGAGAAGACTAAGAGGGTGGCATGCCACCCTAGGTGAGAGTAGAGAGAGAGATGAGAGATGTAAGAAAATGAGATAAGAGAGCCCCTATTTATAGATTTTCTCAAGGGTTAGTCATCCTTATAGAGATTAGATCCATACCATTGATCATAATCATACGAGACATGTGGGGTGAGATATCTTAGCCATCCAATCCTTAGATCGGTCATCATGATACAAAGGAAGGTGCTAGAACTTTATCCTTTAGCTTCCTAAACCTAATCCCATTAACTAATGAACTATAAAAAATATTATCAATCTTACTTTAATTTTCCATAATTTTCTTACACATAATATATTGATTGAAATCAATCCTTCAAATTTTCAAAACATTATACATTATTTCAACTTGATTGATAGCCTTGATGGCTTCAACACATCTTACTTACTACGATTCAATTAAGTGGGGTATGCCACCTTAGGTGGCTTGATGTGGGCCCCAAGAAATTCTATGTGATTTTTATGGTGGCCCCATAGCTCATGGTGGGCCCCCACATAATTAATGAACTATAAAACCCACAAAATGATTTTTAGAATATTGAAAATAAACGTTATTTCTTTCTGAATATTTAAATAATGAAAATTCAATCTCTCTTAAT